GGGGGGCTCCCAGCCCCTGGCGAACCTTTGCTCTTTATTTGGGCTCTCTCTGGCCATCTCTTGTGGCCCCTTCCTCGCTCAGCTCGTCCACCCTCGTCGCCGCTGTCCCATGAGGCTCCGCCCTCCCAGCGGCCTGTGACGCTGCGCTCATACGCTCTGTCTCTCAGCTCAGGGCCCACTCGCGCGTGCCCACCCTAGTCCAGGTGGCCACCATCAGGCGCCCGTGCCCTGAGCCCAGTTCCCACGCGTCTGCTGCGTTCAAAGCCGCAGGTGATGGCCACAGAGGCCGCTGGCCTGAGCACATGATGGAGTCCAGATAAAGCTATGATCTGGAGAGCGACGGATATTACGGTTGGCTTAGCGAGAGGCCATAGAGACATTTGACAAAACCTTAGAGGGCACAATGACAACAGATAGTAAGGGAAGAGTGGACAGGTGCCTGGTTCCCATTCTTTTCTGCAGATCTGGCTGCAGGGAGCTTCCTGGCACAGCTTCCATTTCTCCCTGAAAGGTCCTTTCCGAATCCAAGCTAATCAGTGGTGCCTCTGGCTTGATGTCAAGGGCTACGCCAGGGCCGCCTTCATGGGTTTGCTCCCAGCCTCCCTGGATGGCTTCCACCCCCACTCCAGCGGCACGCTGTGAACTACAGTCATGCTTCTTCCAGCCTCCCACCTCATGTCTACTTGATGTCGTATCTGGAATGTCTTCTCTGTACTGTTTTTTGGCTCACATGTTGACTCCTGGAGGAAGCCTACCCAGATTTTGCAGTCAAATGAAACGTTTGTTCTGTGTGCTTGTCTTTGTCATATGCTGCACGTAATGATAAACTGAATATCTGCTATCTTTATTAGACCATGATTTCCCAAAGGATTACTCATTCAATTTTGTATCCCCAAGACTGGTATTACTTCCTGAGTGCTTTCTATGTGCCAGGTGCTATGCTAAGGATGTATGTTGACTCCTAATTAAAATACCCTTGCAAGGTAGCTACTACTTTAATCTCCAATGTGTCAGTAAATAAACGGATACATGGAAAGGTTAAGGAGCTTATTCAGTGCTACATAGCTGGCACAGGGGAATGAGGGTAGGAACATCTGGGCAGTCTGCCACAGAGCTTGTCTTCTAAGCCACAGGTTCTGCTGCTCAACCAGCGTGGCATTGCCGGGACCTCAATGCATGGCGATGAATGAATGACTGGGTGAGAGAGGCAGCGGCTCTGAAGCAGTGGGGCCAGTTATGAGCTTCATTAGAATAGAACAAAGAGGAGAAGGGGAAATCATTTTGATCTCTATCAGACTCACGACTTAGTAGCAGGAACTGTCCTTGGGGTCAGAAACCCTCTGACCTGGAAGACAGCATGAATGAAACAGACACAGAACAGGGGGTAAGAAATCACTGGTTTGGGTGGTACCAAATGTTTTCATGGATGCACACACACATAGTGAAGCATTTTGCTCAGCAACAAGGACATAGGAGTTTCCTTCTTGACACCCCAGATGGTGCTGAGTTCTGTGGGAAACGTGCAGAAAAGTGCAGGCCATCAAGGCTAAGCTCGTCTAGATTGGATTCCACTGTATGAAGAAAATCATATCTTCACATTGAAAAATCATGCTGTAACTGGGTAGGTGCCTCATATGCAACTCTGAGCACCACAGCATTGGAAACTTTATTAACAATATGGCAAAGCGACAGCTGGTGTAAACATTTTAGTCCTTTAAAATAACAAAATTGGGATCCAGATGCTGTAAAAACAGGCATAAATGTACTATAGACTTTGATTGTAGTGGAGGCTCTGAATAGTACCAAGCATACACCTAACACTTAAAAAATATAATTCCATTCTATCATGAATGTGATTGAAACTAATATGCCAACTTTAATTAACATTAAATATTTAAGTAGAATAATTTTCTATGCCTTATGGGCACTTAGAAGGACTTTGTTGGAGTTATCTGGATGGTCCAAGTTCTTAACAGCCCTGTCAGGGAAAGTTCTGCTAATGCCTTTTTTTTTCTTCCTGAATTTTGCTGAAGTGAGCAGAGATGTTGAAAAATATTCTGTTCCTTTAAATTGCCCTGAGTACTACCGTAGTAACTGAAATATTCTGGAGGATTTCATGGTAATATAATAAAACTGTGGCCTGTTCCATTGCTAGACATTTAAGAAAAAGTCAGAGCTAACTCTCAGTCTCCTCATCGCCTCCTTCCGTGCTTCCACTTATGTCTCTTGCCCAGATCTCTCCTCCCAATTCGTGACTTAGATATTCAGATTCTTATATCCGGCATCTTCTTTTGGATGTCTGAGAATGGGAGGTGCCCAC